AGAGGGGATTTAGTATAGGAATAACTGTAATCCAACTAGTCCAAACAGTGGATATCTACCAATGGAAGGTCCAAGAATCCAGAAGTTGCTCGGTCTGTTAGGCTGGTTTTCTCAGTTGGTTTTCAGTATACGCTGGAATCCTGAAGAAGTCAGCTTTAATTCCAGTGAAGGAATGGACTTGCCACTGGGAGTGAGAGCAAGCAAGCAAAGATAGAATGCTTGCTTATTCCATGCCCTTTATAGAGATTGCTAGCTGAAGGTATAGCCCAGATTAAAAGGTGGATCTTCCTACCTCAAAGAGGGATTAGAAGTGGGTCTTCAAATGGTTTAATTAAGAAAAAAAAATCCTTCACAGATGTACCTAGCCATTTGGGTTTTAGTTAATTCTAGATGTAATAAAGTTGACAACCAAGAGTAGCCATCACATTCCCCTAACAGTGCAGAGATACACAAGTAAGTGGCTGGGCTACCTGATGTCATCAGGTATCCTGCTTGTCACCTTTCAACATTTAGCCATAAGGGAGCCTGTAAACTTAATCTCCATTTGGGTGGTCAAACTTGAGGTGACAGTTTGTGTCATGAATCTCACTGTAAGCATTGCAGCTCGCATGGAAAGGGATCCTGGCAGTCGGGAGACAAGGAATACTGAGTGTTACAGCTCCGGTTCAAGAGTATTGAGCCGGTCTAGAGCCAGGGAATAGCATCACAGTAAGGGTGGCAGCTTACAGCCCTGCTCTAGGGAAGGGTTTCCCCATGGTAACAGCTCTGCTCCAGCAGGCAGGAGAGGGCTTCGGCTCTGGTGCCCTGGGCTAGTGCTCCGAGGTGTAACAGGTCCACTCTGCTAGGGGGAGGTTTGTGTTACACCCCTGCTCTGCTTGCCTCTGGCTTCCCTAGTGAAGTTGTAACAATTTGGTGCTGCTAGGTTTGCTGCTAGGGGAAGGCTTCTCCAGTGAAAGTGTTACAGTCCTGCCCCAGGCACTCTATCTAAGTGGGTAAAGAAGGTCTTTACCCAAACATCATTCAAGAGGTTTATTGGGAGGGAAGATTCCAGGAGAGAGACAGCCACTACCAGAGTGGAAAAAGGGCAGCCACAAACTGAGCAGGCATAGGGTTTATATAGGGCTTCTTAGGGGTGGACTTTTTCCTGGGAGAAGATTTTCAGGGTGGCAATTGGTCAGATTGGCTGGATTTCTGCTCAGGTGATCAGGGGCAGATTTGGCTCTGGTTTCAGGGCCAAAGTGTGTTTCTTTCACTAGCCCTTTTTAACCTTTTGGCTCTAATTTCAGGGCCAGGGCATATTTCTTTAACGAACTCTGATTCTGTGGCCAAAGTGGGTTTCTGTTTATTTGTTTGGTTTTTGGTGTGGTTTTGTTTTGCTTTGGCACTGGCCTCAGGGTCAGGGTGTGTTTCTTTGGTTCTGGGTTCAGGGCTAAAGTATTTCTTATACTGGCTCTGGTCTCAGAGCCAGGGTGTTTTTCTTTCACTGGCTCTGGTTTCAGAGCCAGGGGTGTGTGTGTGTGTGTGTGTGTGTGTGTGTGTGTGTGTGTGTGTGTGTGTGTGTTTCCCCCACTGGCTCTGGTTTCAGAAACCGGGTGGATTTCTTTGGCCTTACAGTGACCTAGGCTAAAAAGGACTTTCTGATATTAAAGTAGACAGTAAGCAGACTTGAGCAAACCTCTGTGTTTGCTTTGTTTTTCTTTTACCGCAAGTGAGATTTCTCTGTACATTTGGGATATGACAAGTTACAGCTCTAGACTACTACCATTGTGTCCCAGAGACACTCCAGTTTTAGCCTGACAAATCCCAAAGAGAATGCTTAATGCTTTATATATGTGAGATCTGTGCCCTTTGAATCAGTGACTGGTCAGTGGTGTCTGGCTCTGTGATTGACCCAGTCAGGGTCATCACCTTTCCTCCCTCACCCTAGTTTGAGGAATGGAGCCTGTTGCCAAATCAATGTGCCAAGAAGACAAAAACAGTCCCCACTATAAATAGTAGCAACTTCGTAATTGTGCGCTGATAATATTTGAGAGTATGCTTAACGGTCATGAGTATGTATCCTAGGAAAGGCCAGCTGGACTCTGTCTCCATGGTGGCTCTCACACCAGGGACAGCTTGCCACTAGGCAATTATAATTCCAGAGAAGAAAAACTCTTTGTTGGTGGAATATCAGAAGAGAAGATAGACGGCAAAGACCTTTCCAGCTGCAGAGAGGAAGAGAAAGGACTTGGGTTTCTGTTTCTGAGAAAGCCAGGCCTCAGTTGAACTTCAGGCTAGAGTCCAAGACCAAAATGTCACAGGACTTGCCTGGCTCCTGCCTGTTTTCCTTTGAGATGGTTCTTTTGTCTGTCTGTCTGTCTGTCTGTCTGTCTGTCTGTCTGTCTTGAGACACAGTCTCTCTATGTAACCCTGGCTGTCATGGAACTCACTATGGTCCAAGATAGACCAGGTTGGCTTCAACTCCCAGAATACTGCCTCTGCCTCCTGAGTCCTGGGATTAAAGGTGTGTGCCACCATGCCTTATTTTCAGATACCATAGTATGACCCCCCCCACACACATAGCTTTTTTTTGTGGGGGTGGGGGTTGAGACAGTTTTTCTGTAGCTTTGGCACCAGTCCTGGACTCACTGTGCCTCCCGAGTGCTGGGATTAAAGGCATGCACCACCACCGCCCGGCACACACAGCTTTTGGTATTGGTAGAAAGAGCTCCTCTTTGCTAAAAACCCCCTGGGTTTGATTCTCATTGGTCCAGATCAGAGAGATGTCCAGACTCAAGTCATCATTGTAGCTCAGAAGCTGACACACGGAATTCTAATTCCAATGATTCTAACTACCACAGAGGGAATAACTATGTCTGGGCAGGGAAAATGATCAGGCGTCTGGTGCAGGCCTCTTCCTTTCCCCAGATGTCTTCACCTTCCCCTGACTAGTCCCCATCCACACTTAACCCACTCCCTCATTACTCTGGTCCCAAAGGACATTTTGTTTTGTTTTTCGAGGCAGGGTTTCCCTGTGTATAGCTTTGGAGCCTGTCCTGGAACTCACTCTGTAGACCAGGCTGGCCTCAAATTTAGAGATCCACCTGCCTCTGCCTCTGCCTCCCCGAGTGCTGGGATTAAAGGTGTGTGCCACCACCGCCCAGACCAGTTTATAAGGGCCCTGAAGGGGGATCTGGGCCCAGACTAGGGGCAAAGGGAAATACGTTTAGCTCGAGTAGGTGTGGTCAACAAAGAGCCATTCCAAAGATGCTTTTTCTGTTAGGAACTGCGGAACTGCTTTCTTCTGTCCCCAGCCAGTCATCTAGGTAGAAGTCTAGTTCTGTACCTCCATTTCTTAAAGAACTAGGAGCAAGCTCCTGGGTTACCCAGTACTTATATAGTAGATGCTTACCTGAATATGAGCCATACTCTTCCCATCCCTACTCCTGCCCAGATAAGTTTCATATTGCAGGGTTCCAAGGGATTGGGAACAAGGTAGAATAACTGACCTGTAAGGTTCTATTGACCCATTCTGTTTTAAATGGTTATCCAGAGCCTTTGTGGTTGGTTGGGGCTGGGTAGTGGCTTCTGAATGAATCACTTATACCTCAGTCAGTTCTCTTAGAACCCAGGGCTATAGCATCGGAAGGTGACATATCTAGGCTATGGTAGGTTTGAAATTAATCAGACAACTATTTGTCCTACTTAGCACATCCTTAGAATATTAGCCGTAATGAAAATGTCTTGGCAATTAGAAATGTCTTTCTTGGCCTACCACCATGGCCTCTAAGAGCCCAGAGGGTGTTTTCCAGCCATGTCCGTGCTGGCACCAGCCGCCAGCCAGGACAAACTGGCTTCTGTAGATGAGCTGGTAGCTGTAAGGCTGTTAAGATAGCACTGGCAGTGCCGGGGCAGTTGGTAACTGGTCCCAGCAAAATGCCCTGTCACCTTGACAAGCTGTCATAAGTCCATGCTCACTGAAGCACAGAAACCTAGCAACAGCATTGTGGTTCTCATAACTTGTGTGCTTGTCACCCATTAGCATCGGATGGTGGGACCCTGACCACATGCTGTGTGGCAGAAGACAGCACCAGGCACCCACCTACTCATTTAAATACTTACTGAGCCCACCCAGAGAACCAGGCCCTGCACTGGAGAGTAACAGGCAGCCAGTCCCTGCTCCTAGGGACCGAACAGCTTAGTCAGGGGAGAAAGCCATGAAACAAACTAGAGTTCCCCGGTAGAGGTCTGATTTTGGCAGTTGTGGTGAAGTGTGGATGCCGAGGTGGGAATGTCAGCTCCCACTCTGCCACATACTAACCCTGTTATCTGACCCCTTGGAACCTCCAATCTTTGATCTGTAAAGCAAGAAGGGTGGGGTAGTTTGAGGACTTCAGTTCCTTCACACGTGTAAAGCCCTGGATCTCAGTGAACACACCATAAACAGCACTGTCTTTCAAAAGTGCAAGACCCTGAGTAGGAACCCGGTCGTTAAAAACACAGCTTCTGACACATTTTAGGTTTATAGTGAGATTAAGCAAATTTTACCTTTATAATCAGACTACCACAAAAAAGAGACGGGAAGGGGAATATAATTTAAAAAGAAGTTTTATTTATTATATACACAGTATTCTGCCTCTAGCAGACCAGAAGAGAGCATCAGATCTCATTACGAGATGTGGTTGCTGGGAATTGAACTCAGGACCTCAGGAAGAGCAGTCAGTGCTCTTAAACGCTGAGCCATCTCCTCTCCAGCCTGGAAAAATCATTCTTATTTTGCATCTATGGAATGCCAGGCACTCAGCAGAAAACATTTAATCCTTTTAACTTTCAATAAAGTAAGGATTTTCACAACCCATTTTACAAAGGATGAAACTAGTTATCAGAGAAGTTGAGTAAATTTGCCCAGTGCTACACACCAGAAAATTGAGCAGAATCAAAGCCAGCTGTTATCTGGGTGCAAAGTCCATCTTGTATGCCGCTATTCCCATGTCCGGGGTGGCAAAAGCAGTTGACTGGGTGTCAAGTACCTGCGTGGTGTGTTCAAAGTTTCCACAGAAGCCAGACAGGCATGTGGCTAACAGCGGCCAGAATTGACGTTTTTTGTTTTGTTTTTTAGGAAAGCCACACACCTGCACTGTGCCATTCTTTTTACATGTTGTAAATGTTTTTTCTTTTAATGAAGGCCAAACAGAATTCTCCTGCTGGGCAGATTTGGCCCTGCTGCTTTGCTAGAGCTCTTCCAACCAGCCATCCCTCCCTCTGACTAAAAAATACGTGTTTTCTACTTGAGACTCTGGGTGAGCCAACTCAGGACAAGCCAGGCAACCTTTTTGCGTTGCGGGCATGATATCTGGTGCTGCTTGCATTTTTAACCGCGCTAGGAATCACCTGAAAGTCTTGTTTGACCTGCCGGTCGGGCCTGGGAAGTTTCTTTCCTGGTGGGCGCGCGGAGGGAGTGGGTGGGTGGTAGGGGAAAGTCTCAAGTAGCTGAGGCTGACCTAAGGCTAATTTGTAATCTTGAACTCCCGCCCCTCCTAAGGAGTTCCCGGGTGTAGCAGGTACTGCTGCCCCCCCCCCCCCCCCCCCCCCCCCCCGGTTTTCCTGGAGAAGGCTTGAGCTCCGTTCAGCTCTGGGGCAGTGATTGCTACAGAGGGCCGGTCTTCTACGCTCGGAAGCTCTATCTGTTTGCCAGGTGTGCTGGGTTTGTTCAGGTTTGGGTTTATTTAGGCTAGCCGGGGAGAGGGCAGTCGAGGGCAAAGGTGCACTGTCAAGAGGCTTGGAGTTTCAGATCTAGAAAGTCAAGTGGGGTGGAGGAAGCCCCTGGAGGCGCAGATGAACCACATGAGCATTACCCGGTCGAGGAGCAGAAAGCAGGACCGAATCCTGTCTACCTGGGGATTTCCGCGTATCCCGTTCGTTCCTGGTTTCCCAGGCTATCCCAAGGTGCATTCAATCCTAAAGTCCCTGCCCATCAAGTTTCTCAGTTGCAAGTTGGTGGGGTTTAAAGGCGGCTGCGCCGTAGAGCACTCCCATGGTGCCGCGCGCTGGGCGGGTTTGTATTTTAAATCCCCGCGGCCAATCAGCAACGCGCAGGTCCTTGTAACGTTCCCAGCGCTGCGTTTGAATTCGGGGAGGAACGGAGCAGGGCAAGATCCTCTGCACCGGCCGTGCCAGGTCCGCGGAGAAAGTCTAGGAGCATGAATGCAGCGGCCAAAGCTGGAAAGCTGGCTCGAGCACCAGCCGACCTCGGGAAAGCCGGAGTCCCGGGGGATGCAGCTCCCGGTGCTTCAGTGGCCGCCCCGCTATCGAAGGAGATTCCGGAGATCTTAGTGGACCCACGCAGCCGGCGCCAGTATGTACGGGGCCGCTTTCTGGGTAAAGGAGGTTTTGCCAAATGCTTCGAGATCTCAGACGCAGACACAAAGGAGGTGTTCGCAGGCAAGATCGTGCCTAAGTCGTTGCTTCTCAAGCCACACCAGAAGGAGAAGATGTCTATGGAGATTTCAATTCACCGCAGCCTCGCACACCAACACGTCGTAGGATTCCATGGCTTTTTCGAAGACAGCGACTTTGTGTTTGTGGTTTTGGAGCTCTGTCGCAGGAGGGTGAGTGTTTCTGCTGCGGGGCTGGGGCGCCCACACCGGGAACTTGCTGGCAAAGAGGCACCAACTCCTGGGAGTGGCTAGAGGAGTACTTGGGCTTCTAGTGAGGATATTTGGCACTCCGTGCTGCAGAGGCCAGGGTTCAGGGCAAGCGGAGCCCGGGACTTGTTGCTATTAGGGATCATGGCTCCTGCACGCAAGGCTGTGAACAGGTAAAGGAAAAGGGTGTTTAAAGTGGTTAACAAGGGTCCCAGGCTACGGCTGCCGCGGATATAGAACTTCCGGAGTGGGGGAGGGAGAAGAGGCTGTTTGGAGTCAGACTTAAGGGCTTTCAGGAAAAGGAGAGGGTCTCCTCCGGGGAGGAAGCCCCTAGATAGGGAATCGAGAGTGGGGTCGAGAGAAGACTCTGGGTAAGGGCAAGAGTTAACAGGAGAAGGTCCTGTGAATGATAGCTACCAATGTATTGGCAGAACCATCAGGAGCCTGCAAAGACACAAGAAATACGGGTTAATTTAAGTGGAAGAGTTAGCTAGTAACAGGCCTAGAGTGATATTTGGGACCGGGCGGTTGGGGCAGAAAACATCCGTCTACACTTGACTCCCGAGGGTCTAGTCCTGGCCACATCCACCTGGCCATCCATTTCCATGGGGCTCAGTAACGTCTTCCCTCTTCCTCAGTCCCTCCTGGAGCTGCACAAGAGGAGGAAAGCGCTGACGGAACCCGAGGCGCGCTACTATCTGCGGCAGATAGTCCTGGGCTGCCAGTACCTGCACCGCAATCAGGTCATTCACAGGGACCTCAAGCTGGGCAACCTTTTCCTGAACGAGGATCTGGAGGTGAAAATAGGTGAGATGCTGGACCTGCGGGTGACGGCAAGGAGGGGAACCGTGGGAGAATGGGAGCCAGAGAAATGGAAGGCTGGTGGGAAATGGAGGTGCTGCCCTCCAGAAAGCCCTCTAGTTCAGAAATGGAAAGCGAGTGGCTCACAGGCCGGTTGTCTTGCCTTCAGATGCATTGTTTTTTGCTGTTGGTGTTGTTTTGTGTACCGCAGTACAGTAGTTTTGAAAATAATAGTGTACTTGGGGGTGCCTCCCCCAAACACTACCCTATCTCATAGTGCTAAGCCTGGTCCATCTCAGTCAATTTCCTGTTTAAACTGCAGGTCTGGAGCTACGCTGTGGAGCAAAACTGGCAGCATCCCCTCTGCTGTCTCCTTACTGAGCCAAAAAGTACATGTCCTCTTGAGACTGATTTGTCTCAGTTCCTATACCCCTGTCACTTTTTTTTTTTCTTTTTTTCCCGAGACAGGGTTTCTCCATAGCTTTTGGTTCCTGTCCTGGAACTAGCTCCTGTAGACCAGGCTGGCCTCGAACTCAGAGATCCTCCTGCCTCTGCCTCCCAAGTGCTGGGATTAAAGGTGCGCGCCACTGCCGCCCGCTCCCTGTCACTTTTTTTAAACTTGACCATCAGCAGTCAGGAAGAGTATTTCCTTGATTGCCTACTGCATCCGGTTCTGCTCTCCTAAGCGTTTTAAATTTCATTTACGTAGGGGGTGGGACTAGAAGGTAAGTATCAGGAATCAGTTCTCTCCTTTCACTGTGCGGGTCGCGGGGTCAACTCAAGTCATCAGTCTTAGTGGTGAGCACCTTTACCTACCGAGCTGTCTTACCACCCTAGCCCTGCTATCTAGAGAAGAGTGTACAGGGCAGTGGGGGGCCTGCCGGGACCAGCACAGTGGGGAAGTTTTGGGGAGCAGACCTGGAGTCCACAGGCCCTGGTTCTCACTGGTCAGGCCTGAGCAGCAGTCTGCAGCCACAGATGGCCCCGACTTGGCAGCTGAGCATCCTCTCTTCTTCCCTTTGTCCCAGGGGATTTTGGGCTGGCAACCAAAGTGGAATATGAAGGGGAACGAAAGAAGACCTTATGCGGCACTCCCAACTACATAGCTCCCGAGGTGCTGAGCAAGAAGGGACACAGTTTTGAGGTGGATGTGTGGTCCATTGGGTGCATCATGTAAGTTGGAAATGGACGCAGGGGCTATTGGGTCTCTCGGGGCTTTCTGAGGCATTTTGCCCAGTTGACCTTACCCCCTGGATCCTTCTTCCTTATACAAAGGCTGTTTCAGAGAGCAGGCTGCCCACATGAAGCCCTGTTTCCTTATCTGGTGTAGGCTGTAGGATTTCTCTAGCTTGGACTTACCCCAGGGAAGGGACAAGAAAGTCTCCATACTTCTTTCTCCAGCTCTATGCATACACCCAAACCTTCAACACCTGAGGGCTTATTAGGAATGTGGAATCTCAGTTCTGAACCTGGGTTTAATTTAATCTCTGGCTGACTTTCAATAAAGCTTTAGAAGCACTAATGAGAGAATTAGGTCAGCAGAAAGGCTGCTGGGTAGGCAGAAGTCCCATCATGGTGGCCTCTGGAGTCCTTGGAGTCCTCTGTTAGTGCAGGCCAGAGCTGGGGGACCCCTGACCTCTAAGTATCCGAGTGTTGTCAGCTGCATTCTTCTGAGAGCTTGTCCTAGCCATTGGTTGCTATGGCACTGCCAGACTTGGAGATCATCCCATCCATTCCTAATTGGGGGATGCATTTGGACTTTCCTGGGAGTTTAAGCAAAATCCTTCCTTGTACCTCCAGGTATACCTTGCTAGTGGGCAAGCCACCTTTTGAGACTTCATGCCTAAAAGAGACCTACCTCCGGATCAAGAAAAATGAATACAGTATCCCCAAGGTGAAGACACCATAATGTTTTAATTTTATCTTTCACCCAAAAGCTGTTCACTGAGCCCATCCTCCTATATCCTAGGGGCAGAGATGAGTCAGCCCTGCCCTGCCTCTAGTATAGCTATGGAGAATATATGTCTGAAGGCTGGCCTTTCTCACTGCATGTTGAGTTTGAGCGTCAGATTCTCCTGCTTCTTCCTCCCAAGTGTTGAGATTATAGGCATGTGCCACCATGCTGGCTTTATGGTAGAATGGGAGCTGAACTTGGCTTTGTGCTTATGGGCAAGCACTCTTATCAACTGAGTCCAGTGCCCAACTTCCTGAATGGATGTAAGACGCAGGGGGGAAAGGAGGGAGTAGGAGCAGACCAGCTTAAACATAGGACACGGACCATCTCTGCCCAGCTGAGCTGTGTTTAGCAGGTGATGGCTTGACTCTTGTGAACCAGGCTTCCTATCTGCAAAGGGGGAGTTTCCCCAAGGGCTTCCTATGACAAAGTGACATCTATTTTCACAACTGGTGGCATAAATATGTTTGAAGGGATAACCCATTTCTGGGGACTAGGTCCACACGGGACATATGGCCACTTTCTAGTCGGTGTCCTTGACTTGTATATGAGTAGCTAGGCCACAGAAGGTCGGCTCACTGCAGGCAGCATGGACTGGCTTGAGCCAGCTGGACTGCTATGGTTTAAGTCCTGGCTTTATCAGCTAGGCTGTGGGTATTCTCAGACAGGGGCACTCAGTCCTCTGAGCCTGTTTCTTCATCTATAGGTGAAGCCTAGTAGTGGAGTAGTCTTACTATTTGTAAGGCTGAGGCAGAGGGATCACAAGTTCCAGGTTAGCCTCGGCTACACAGTGACATCCCGTCTCAATTCAAATTATACAGAGGGAGGGGGAAGAGAGAGTCCTTAGGTGTTTTTGTGAGGGCCAAATGAACTAATGCACAGGAATATATTCCTGGTATATAAGAAGCACAGAGTTACTGCTCTGACTGACGGGCCTGTGCTAGGCTTTAGCCCACAAACCTGGTATCCCACCTGGTGGTGTCCCAGGTATGGTGCCCCTCTTCCATTCTATAGACAATGCATTGGTAGGCCCAGAAAGTCCAGGCTATTTGTCATAGCTGAAATCAAGGGGGTGGAACTAGGATTTCATCACAGGTCTGGGAACCTAGAGGCCTATGCTGTCAGGTGCCCCTCTGGTGCCTTTGCAAAGGCAAGGTGGGGAAATGATCGCAAGTTAATACTGAGTGCCAACTGGCAGGAAATGGTCCTTCTCACCAGTAGGGTGACGTTGGTTCTTGCTAAAGTTGAGGGCAGAGGACCTGGTGGAACTCCTGGCCACTGAGCTATGGTATATTTGAGACAGGAGTAGCCACGTGCCAGGTGGGGTCCCCATCTCATCTCACTTAGGCTCTGCCTCTCCACTCCAGCACATCAATCCTGTGGCCACCGCCCTCATCCAGAAGATGCTTCAGACAGACCCCAGTGCTCACCCTCACGAGTTGCTTGATGACGAGTTCTTCACTTCTGGCTATATCCCCGCCCGTCTCCCCATCACCTGCCTCACCATCCCACCAAGGTTTTCCATAGCTCCCAGCAGCCTGGACCCCAGCAGCAGGAAGCCTCTCACGGTCCTCAATAAAGGTAAAGCTCGGGCTCAGTAGGGTAGACCCCAGAGAGCCCCGATTTCCAGGGTACATTTCAGAGTGCACGTGCCTTTCTCTGCCCCCAGAGTTGGGTCTGGTTCCTGGGCTCTTCAGCCACTTGGCCTTGGCAGGAAAACTTACCTTTAAAAGTGCACACCTTTAATTCAGAAGGCTGAGGCGGGCAGGTCTCTGAGTTCAAGGCCAGCCTGGTGAGCCAGGAACTGCCCTATGTTTCTCTTAACTGCTTGAGAGCAGGCATTCCTCTACCGTAAGCGCTTCAGTATATACTTGAAAACAGACATGACAGACACCAGCATAACCTTCAGGACTCTGGCTATTAGTCTAATTCCATATTGTCTTAACGATTTCTTTTTCTATTTTTCTTTTTTCTCCCCCCCCCCCCCCCCCAGACAAGATCTGACTATGTAGCTCAGGCTGGTCTCCAACTCAAAGAGATCCACCTGGCTCTGCCTCCCAAGTGCTAGGATCAAAAGTTGTGAGCCACCTCACCTGGTAGCATTCTTTTGTTTTGTACTTACTGTTCCTCCTTCCTTCCTTTTTTGTTGTTGTTATTTTTTGTTTGATTTTGAGACGGGCTATGAAGCCAAGACTGGCCTCAGGTTTGAAATCTCCTGCCTCACACCTGCCCCCTTCCCAGTGCTGGGCTTATAGGAGTGTGCAGCTGCATTTAGCTTAACTTTTTTATCTTGCAGTTTTATTTATCCTTGATATATTTCATTGAGTGTTATAGTCTTTGAGAAGTAGCATGAAGGGCTTTGTTTCTTGGTGTGGATATATCACCAACTTAATATAAAATTCTCAGTTCATCGGTTACAATTAGATTTACATTTTTATGCAAATAACTTGTGATGTTTTGGTTTTGGTGACTTGGTTCAGGCTAATCTTGAACACTCAAATGCTGGGGTTACAAATATGTGCCTAACCCCTGTCTCAATGACTTGGTTTATTTTGGAATAATTTTAGGGCTGTACAAAACTGTTAGGAACAAAATAGAGCTGATTCCCATGTACCCTTCCCCTAGCTTCTTCCACAGTCAGCATCTCTCCACCATAGAATGATAACCAAAACTAAAACGTTAACCACAAAATAATCCAGCCGGGCGGTGGTGGCGCATGCCTTTAATCCCAGCACTCGGGAGGCAGAGGCAGGCTGATCTCTGTGAGTTCGAGACCAGCCTGGTCTACAAGAGCTAGTTCCAGGACAGACTCCAAAGCTACAGAGAAACCCTGTCTCAAAAAAAAAAAAAAAAAAAGATGCAAACCACAAGATAATCCTTCAACAAACTCTAGCCCTCATGTCAATCAATCAGATTCCACCTTAACATCACCTTTTCTGTACAGGGATGCAAGCCAGTAGCACTCCAGTTTAGTGACCTTGGCTCCTTAGTTTCTTCCCAGCCTGTGTTGGCTCTGGGTTTTTCCTGTGTCTTGTGACCTTGACTCTTTTACAGGGTGCTGATGAGTGTATTTCCTGCTGGATTCGTTGCCTCTTCATGATTTAGGGAAGAGGCTGCCTTCTGAGCTAGAATGCTGAATGGGGAATGTGCTGTTCTCTGTGCCAGGGAGACAAGTCTGTCTCCGCTGCAGATGCTGTTTCTTCAGTAATTGATAAGTGTCTTGCAGGAAATTGTTTGAAAAACTGTTGCCCACCAATTTTAGCATCCACACGTGGGTGTTGGTATAGCAACTTACTGTAATTTTTCTTTTTCTTTTTTAATTTTTGAGACAGTGTCTCATATGGCCCAGGCTGCTTGGAATTCACAGTAGCCAAGGATGACCTTGGACTTCTGTTCCTTCTGCCTCTGAGTGCTAGGATTACAGGTATGGGCCACCCACCCTGCCTGGTTTATAGGGAGCCGAGAGTCTTAGTTCAGAGCCATCTCTCAGCCCCTTTTTGACTAGTTTTAAAATCAGATCTTGATGATTTTATTTCACACTTAAATTCTTAATATAGCATGGTGGGATTTTTGTTGTTGTTAATTGAAAATTTAAGAAACATTCTGTTTCACAGAAGAACCAACATATGCTGATTTGGGGAAATAAATTGTTCAAGTATAGGACGGCAAGAGTGACCAGCATGCCCCCGGCCACCATAGGCCAACTTAATGCTTCAGTGTCTACTTCCTTAGACTCAGTTACCTGTGAGCACGCAAAGCAAAAGGGTTACACTGCTTCATCTCTTCTTTCTGGGTGCACAAGGTGCCCCTCATTCTTTGCTTGAATTGGTGCCTTCATGCTGCCTCCCTGAGTGACAGCCACAACTGCTGTCGGGGAAGGCCAGGCTGTTGGAGCAGAGACCTGAGCACCTGAGGCTTTGTGGCCTCTCAGTAAGCACCACATACCTGACCCACAAACCTGGTACTGACTCAGTCCCCCACAGCAGTGCATTCATGGGTGCAAGCTGTGACAGGGAGTTCTGTGCTCCCTCCTCCAGTTTTGTGCCTGGCCAATGACCATGTCACCTTTTCAGGTGTAGAGAACTCCTTGCCTGACCGTTCCCGGGAAAAGGAAGAACCAGTGGTTCGTGAGGCAAGTGAGGCCATCGAGTGTCACCTTAGTGACCTGCTGCAGCAGCTGATCAGTGTCAATGCCTCCAAGCCCTCAGAGCGAGGGCTGGTGCGGCAAGGTGAGTACCGCAGGGGACCACACATCTGGAGGAGGCTGGGCATCCTGATCAGCAGAGCACCCATTTCCTACAGCTCAAAATCCAGATGCATTAGCATGACACCCAAGGGCCTCCCTGGTGTGCCTTCTGCCTGTTTCTGCTCCACCTCATTTTGTGGGTGGATGGTAGGTCACCTCTGCATAGCTGCATCTATTGCGTCTCCTTCCTGTCCAGGGAATTTAATCCGTTGGTCCTCAGAGACTCCAGTTAGCTCCAACCTCGGGGCTTTGTGCCCGCCACCAGCTTGACACCCACTGCCAGCACTCCCAGCCTGATTTAATTCTCTATAACATTTCTTCCCAACACACCTGTGTCTTTGCAGTGGAGACTTGTACGCACTGAGTTGGTTCTAGCGTTGCAGGAACTGTCGGGTCTGCTCAGTTCTTCATCACTTTGATCTGGGGCAATTGGCTTCCATCAGCCCAGATGCTAATGACAGAGCAGCTCAGAGGCTTTGATCACTCTTCATCCCTGTGGTTGGAGCATGGGCCCTTCCAGAAGCCTGGGGTTTTCTTTTCCTGTCTGCACCTACCACAGTTCCTGGGCCAGGGTAACGGGACCCACTTAATGAAGTGGGACTTGACGTCCTGGGCTGCACTTTTCCATTTGGGTGTCTAGGTTTGTGCTGTCAGGCTCCTCCCCAGGCTTCATGGGGTCCCCTTCCAGCCCTGGGGAGGGCTGGCTGGCCTAACCAGTGCTCTGTTCCTTTCCCAGAGGAGGCCGAGGATCCTGCGTGCATCCCCATCTTCTGGGTCAGCAAGTGGGTAGACTATTCGGACAAGTATGGACTTGGTAGGTGTCTCCAGAACGTGGGATGGGCAGGGGACGGTGTGGCCATGGTAGCTTTTGAGTGGACAAGTGAGTGATAACTGTATTGTATACATATCTCTGTGTGTCTCTGTATGTTACCAAGAATTGTTAGGGCTTTACACAAGCACTCTACTACTGGGTTATGCCCAGGCCTTTGCCCACCTCCTCCCACCTTTCTGAGATAGCCCTCCATCTGCCATTAGGGTACCAGCTGTGTGACAACAGTGTGGGGGTGCTCTTCAATGACTCAACCCGCCTCATCCTCTACAATGACGGTGACAGCCTACAGTACATAGAACGCGACGGCACGGAGTCCTACCTCACTGTGAGCTCTCATCCTAACTCCTTGATGAAGAAGGTGAGCACTGGCTGCTGAGGGGTGGGTGGGGTGGCAGGATACGGGGGTTGCTTTGGTCAGGCCCTCATTCTGCAATCCTGAACCCCACTTTTCCCAACCAGATCACTCTCCTCAAATATTTCCGGAATTACATGAGTGAACACCTGCTGAAGGCGGGGGCTAACATCACACCCCGGGAGGGAGATGAGCTGGCTCGGTTGCCCTACCTGCGGACATGGTTCCGCACGCGCAGCGCCATCATCCTGCACCTCAGCAACGGCACCGTACAGATCAATTTCTTCCAGGTGTGCAGGGCCGGGACCTGTAGCTGGGGTGCCTGGATGGGGGGTGCAAGAGCTATCCATCTCAGGAGCTGGGGTGCCTTCCTCCCCTTTTGCCTCCACCTCAGGCACCAGCTGAGCTCTTCACGCATTCACTTCTTCCCTCCTAGGACCACACCAAGCTTATCCTGTGCCCCCTGATGGCAGCAGTGACCTACATTGATGAGAAGAGGGACTTCCGTACATACCGCCTGAGCCTGCTGGAGGAATATGGCTGCTGCAAGGAGCTGGCTAGCCGGCTGCGCTATGCCCGCACCATGATAGACAAGCTGCTGAGCTCACGCTCTGCCTGCAACCGCCTCAAGGCTTCCTCATAAGCTTCTGTCCCTCGGACTGGTTCCCCTTCACTCTGCAAGTTCTGTCTGGGCCTACACTGCTAGGCTCCTGGGGCTGCTGTTCAGTGCCCCTGGCCCTGAGGGCTGGGTGGGGAGCAGTGCCCCCGTTGAAGGGGTTGCTGTGTAAGTTATTTTTGTACATGTTTGGGTATGGGTTTACAACCTCTTCCCTTGCCCTCAGCCCTCTGTATCAATTGTATAGATATTTTTATTGAATTTGGGACTGTTCTTTTCTTAGCTTTATATACATTAAATATATGTACATCATTTTTTTTTTTAGCCTGTGTTTCTTGAGGGTGCCTGATCCCCGAGTATTTCTCTGCTCCAGCAGCCTCAGGCTGCTAAACTGCTGTCGTTTTCTGACACTCCTGAGACCAGACTGAGCCACAGGCTTAACTCCTCGGTCCACCTTTGGGCTCTCTGGCTGTCTTAGCTCTTTGTGGTATCTGGCAGGACCTCCTGGCATTCGAAGCTGGTGGATAGTAGGGCAAGAAGAGGCTCTCAGAAGCGCAGGTCCTCATGGCCTGGTGAGTGTGGAGCAGCAGCCTCGGGAAGCGGTGTGTGAAGTACTGGATAAAGCCAGCAGGGAGTTGGCCCAGTGCCTGGTGTACCTCGGTTGGGAGCTCCCTGTAGTGGTGCTTCTGAGGATGGGCAGATCAAAGACCTGGGTCAGCTATGGCAGGGCATCCCTGATCCACATCCCGCCCAGGCTCTAAACACACCTTATTCCTCATGGCACGGAGCAGGTCTCGCACTGATGTCCCCTTGTATGATCGGAACCTTTTCAGATCTGCGGGCAGAGAAGTGGGCTGCAGAGGCGTCCCCATTGGCTTTCCCCCTCAGGCCCACCCAAGTATGGCCCTACCTGCTTGCAGTGGTGCCGAGATGTGCTTGTGCCAGTTTTCCCGGACCACCTTGTGACTTCCTGCCTCCAGCGCCATCACGAGGGGTCCCTGCTCTGGCTCCTTTTCCAACCAGTCACTGACATCCTAGGATCCCACAGAGCTTCCTAAGTCTTATGGACAGTCCTGAGCCCCCAGGGCCAGGGCTGTGTTATGTGGTTGATGTTGAAGTAGTGCTAGCCCTTGACCTTGGATGTTAGGGGCTTTGCCTCATGGAGAGTGTGGCTTCCCTGTGCTTTACCTTCACGCTACCACCCACCTTGAGGGAAGCACTGTTGCCTCTGTTGTATAGGAAGTCAGCCTGCAGGTCAAGTGTGGTCCTTTGCCCAAGGTCACAAATGGAAGGAGTATCTACACCGCATTCCCATACAGGCAAAGCTAGAGCCAGTGCACAGATTCTGGGGTCCAAGGTGACAGGACTGCCTTTTCTTAGCTACTCTGACTTCTCATTTCTTGTTCAGGACCTGTGATGGCTTAAATAAGAACGACTTCCATAGGTTCCTATGTTTGAATGTTTAGTTCCCAGTTAGTGGAACTGTTTGAGAAGGATTGGGTGTGGTCTTGGAAGAGGTATGTCATTGGGGGTGGGCTTTGAGGTTTCAAAAGTCCACATCAGGCCTAGTTTTCCTTTATTGGTGTGCAACTTGTGGATTAGACGTGAGCTCTAAGCTACTGCCCCCACACCACCAAAATGATGATGAACTCACCCTCTGAAACTGTGAGCAAGTCCCCAATTAAATACAACTTCTTTTGTATGTTGTCTTGGTCATAGTGTCTCCTCACAGCAATAGGACAGTAACTAACACAGGACCCAAACTTGGAGCTTGGGGGACCCTTCCCAAGATCTCCATCTGACCTGGAAGAACTGGAGTTGCTTGGCTCTGCTCCAAAAGAGGGGGTGGGCCAGCACCCATTCAGCTGAGGGGCGATCCTGGGGCAGCAGGCTCAGCATGGCTTTCACCAAGTCCAATGCCACAACCTTGTCTGGAGGGCAGAAGAGAAGGATGGTTTATATAGGTGCTTAGTGTTATGCTTCCTTCCTCCCATCTTTGCTAGTCTGACTGGGCTCTCCCTTCCTCACCGTGGGTCTCTTCCTCCAGATGAGCCAGACAGGGATGCCCTGAGAGGATGTTGGCTTGGCGGTAGAGACTCTTACCAAAGGGGTGGCTGCCACCAGAAAGCACGTAGTAAAACACACAGCCTGCAGAGAAGATATCCACAGCACTGGTCTGGGGGCCAGAAAGATAGTCATGAGAAGGAGGAAGTGGGCCTTCTAAAAATCCCTTCTGGGCCTGTAGAGCTGTGTGTGTGTGTGTGTGTGTGTGTGTGTGTGTGTGTGTGTGTGTAGGAGTTTTCTCCAATGTTAAAATACTGACTGCTAGTGTAAAAACTATACTGGCAGGATCTAATATGAAAACTATACTGTATGGGCAGGCACCTAACATCAGTGCATCAAGTCCCTGGGCACTTAGGTCTCCAGTCCCCTGATCACTACTTCCTCTTGTCTTTAGGAATGGGTGTGACTCTCCTGGTGACCCTTCCACCCGCTCACCATGATTCCAGATGTAGAGTCCTGGGGTCCCAAACTCACACGGGCCAGGTGCTGCTTCATTCTTTGTGTTACTGTGGTGTTAGTTCACTCCCCCATATGTGTTAACCCCAGGTCTACACTGGCCCTGTGTTCTACCTAGCTCATCAGGTCAAAACAGATGAGAGCCAGCATCTTTTTTCCTATGTAACTTGAACTCAGAATCCTCCTGTCTCAGCTTCCTGAGTGCTGCAATTACAGGCTACCACGTCATTTTCTAAGTCATGGTTTCTCAGCCTGGGTGGTACTGATACAGAAGAGAAAACTCAGGGAGAGGGTGGGTGGTGCCTTGTATAATATGACTGAGTCATATTATACTGTGGCATGCTTAGCAGCATCCCTGGCCTCAGGATGACAGAGGCGATCCAGCCAAAATGACAACAGGCATTGCCTGTTGTCCTCTGAACAGCATGAAGAGGTGGAGTCTGCCTTAGGGAAGAGGGAGTGGATTATCTCCTGGGAATAGATGAGCAGGCAGGGAGGAAACCCTGTGGCTGGCTGGCAGGCTTACCGGGCTATCTGGGGGCTGCTGCAGGAGTTCTGGTGCCATCCAGCCTTCTGTGCCGGGAATGCCAGAGTGAAGACTGAAGCTACACCGGCCTGCGGGGAGCTTCTTGCAGAGGCCAAAGTCGGAAATGACCACTCTGCCTTGACCCTGGCTGTCAGGCCCAGCCATGAGAATGTTGCCTGGCTTCAAGTCACGGTGTACTACAGGAAGGAAAGGGGAGAGTGAGTGATAGCCAGTGGGGAAGAGCAGGGGGCTGGGGACCAGAAACAAGATGTGGTACCTATGTGTAAGGAATGTAGGTGGGCCAGGCCAGACATCATCTGCTGTAGCACCATAGTGGGCTCCAGGCCCCAGCGGTCTCGGTCTGGGTTCTCCACATACTAAGATAAGGGAGGGACAGAAATGTCACTCTCCAGCCCCAGGCCTCCCTTCCTTCTTCCCTCCCTGAGCTCCCATCTCACCTCTTGCAAGGAGGCCTGGCAGAGCTCCAAGGCAATGTAGTGGAACTGGGGACCATGCTCCGTGCAGAAGTAGCGGAGCACATTGGGGTGCCGGTCAGACTCTTGCAGCAGCTGTACCTCTCGCCGAACCAAGCTGAAGCACTCCCGGAGGAGCCTCTTCACAGCTACTGCTCGTCCCTCAAACTGCCCTCTGAAAGGTGGATCAGGGGTTGGGGGTTCAGAGAGAGCAGACAGGGAAAGGTCGGGACCTATGCCCAAATCTGGGGGTTTGGAAGAATGCCTGTTCTTTGGCGGTTGTCAAAAGGGCTGCAAGTGATATAGCTACAGCCTGGATTCTGCCTGCTACTCACCGGAAAACAAAAGTTCCGCCTGCCCCACGTCCCAGCACATCCTTGGGGTTGAAGGAGATCTTCCCCACTACGGTGGGCTGCTCTGCTACAGGGGGAAAGGGATCATTGTCCTCTTAGTGATCTCTACCCACTGCCCACAGTCATCCTCCCTGCCTTCCTTTGCCAGCCAGAGTCCAGACCCACCCTCCGCCTTGACCTTTCTCCAGACTTCCACCCTTCCTGAGTGTGCTGCTGTAGCTGAGAGCAAGGACCCGGATGCTAGGCACGTGGCTCCAGTGGCTGGTGCCGCTATTGGTGTAGCTAGACAAATGATTCAGAGCTGATACTGATACCATCTGCATTGGTGAGGACCAAGCAGATATATGGGAGGGGAGTGGGTGATGTTGGCTACGTGATTCTCTCTTGAGCGCCTCCTGTCTCTGTTTCTTCCCCTTCTTCTCTCTGCAGTCTTCCCATCTCTAACACGTGTAACAATTCTTTCCACTGAAGTTGAATCGTTTCAAATAAAAAGATGAATGCAAGTAAACAGATGCATAATGAGAGTTATAACAAGAAGGGATGATGCTGGGTGTTGCAGGGCACGCCTGCAGCCTGGGAGTGTCCTCAAAAGTTTCAGTGTGCAGGCCGGGCGATGGTGGCGCACGCCTTTAATCCCAGCACTCGGGAGGCAGAGGCAGCCAGCCTGGTCTACAAGAGCTAGTTCCAGGGCAGGCACCAAAGCTGCAGAGAAACCTTATCTTGAAAAAAACAAAAAATTTCCCACCATCACTTTAGTGCTGGGTATCGAAACCAGAGTCTCACTTATGCTAGGTAAGTGTACTACTACCTATTGACCTAGATAGGAAGTGGAGAAACTTCCAAAGCAGGGATTCCCATCACCTTGCATCAATGGCAGGGGTGAGGCGGATAATAAACTGGAGTAGAGTTGCATGCTCTTGGGCTTGGAGAGATAGCTCAGTAGGTAAGAGCACTTGAGTTCAAATCCCCAGAACCCAGGTAAAAATCCAAGCATGGCAGTATGTGCCAGGAAACCAGGTGCTGTGGAGAGTGGAGTCGGAAGCATTTCTGAGGCTTCCTGGCTAGCTTAGCTCCTGTCTTAGATCGGAGCCCCGTTCCAAGAGAATAATGTGGGGGGTGATAGACGAGGACACAACATCTTACCCGACATTGCAGATGATGAGAAATGTGCCCCATCATGTGCAAACACACCTGCGCATACACACACATTACACTATTAAAAAACAAACAACTAGCTGGGTGGTGGTGGTGCACGCCTTTAATCCCAGCACTTGGGAGGCAGAGGCAGACAGATCTCTGTGAGTTCGAGGCCAGCCTGGTCTGCAGAGCGAGTTCCAGGACAGGCTCCAAAGCTACACTGAGAAACCCTATCTCAGAAAAACAAAACAAACTATAGGGCATTGGCAAGAACATTTCCGGGAAAAGAAAGACAAGGCGACT